TCCCCCCCCCCCCCCCCCCCCCGTCCCCCTGGAACCAAGTTCAGACCACACACACCTTCCCTTCCTGCGGAGCTTCCAGCAACACTGGCTGGCTGGGATGTTCGGGAGGCTGTAGGCCTTTTGCAACAAGAGCTAGCACTCCTGTCTGGGGTGTGCCACCTTCCAGGAAGGTGCGTGGAAGAGCCCCTCCTAAGAACTGAAGTCACAGGAAGCGGGGGTTCGGTGTGAGATTTACCACATGTGGGGCCCTTAGCTGCAGCCACGACTGGTAGGTGATGAGGTGGAAGCAGTCAGTCCGTGGGTGCCGAGCCCCAGCACAGAGCACACAGTGGCGACTGTTCAACAGGCTGCTGGCTGACAGGTGACGTCACAGCAAAGGCAGCCTCACCGAGGGACGGCCCTGTCGCAGTTCACGCAGCTTCTGAGGGACAGGCCTCTTTGGCCCACGTCTCTCACGCATCCAGAGGCGTCCGCTGTGATGACATGACTGAGTGGCTCCAGAAGCCTTACCTGCGGTGGGCGCAGGTGCGCAGCGTCCGCACTGCCAGGTGCAGGGCAAGGAGAAGCGGTGCCACCTGCTGCCCGACAGGTGTGGAGCCAGGTAATGGGCGAGGCAGCAGGAGATGAACTGCAATTGGCTGAAAGGAGGGACGTGTGGGGCCACTACTGTACCAAGGGAAGCACTGAAAAACACACACATCACCTTCCTCAGGACACGCCACCCCCCGGCCCAGCACCTCCTCCCGTCACCAGAGGAAGGAGGACAGAGGGCACGGCTCGGGAGGAGGAAGAACAGCCAGCGCTGGCCACTGGCAGCAAGCAGGGCCTGCCAGTCACCCAAGGAGGGAGGAACATGGAGGACAGGCCATGTGCAGCCAGAGAGAGAACATATAGGGGGAGGCCCAAAAGGGAAATCATAGAAAGAGAGTCGTTTTGTTAGAAAACCCAATTCTCAACCCCCCGAGGCCACAGGTCATGCACCCACCCGTCCGCCTGTTACGGAAGCAGCTCCGAGAGGCTGAGTGAGACCAAGAGCCTGGAGAGCGGGAGCAGAGGTTTCAGACGAGAGAGGGGGCCAGCCTCCAGAAGCTGTGGACAAAGTCCCTCTGGGTGGGTTCGAAGTTGTGAGTCTAGAAACCGACTGTGTGGGCGACACCAGGCAGGTTGTTTCTGCTGAACGTGAGCGAGAGCCGCCTCGATGGCGGCAATGACCTGGCTACATCTAGAACCTTCCTTCCGTGGCAGTAATGAGACTAGGGGGTGACCACACGAAGCTCCTGAACACAAGATGCACTTTCTGCCATAAGACGAGCGACTCGAGCCGGAAGGTGCTGAGCTCGGCACGTCCGGGCCGCGTCTGCTCTCGCCTGCTCTTCCAACAGAGATGCTGCAAGATTCCTCACTTTTGAAAAGATCCTAAGATTTTGTAAAACCAAAACGGGCTTTCGGGTTGGAGGAGAAAAGCTTTGAAATCCCAAATGGGAAGCACGTTCTAGGTCTTCTCTCAGCACGTGCTCACGGCAGGAAGCTGCCTCCCACCCCGAGGCGCCCTTTCTCCTCCGCCACCGCTTGCCCTCTGACCTGGGTCAGACCCTGCTGTCACTCAGCCTGGGCTGAGGCCCTGGATCGTGAACACCAGCCCCCACGAATAACGACCGGCCGGGCGGTTACGGCAGCTTCCTCTCCCTGGGCCCACACTGTTCTCTCAGGACAGTCTCCTGGGAGCAGCGTAAGCAGCGATGACGGAGGACGTGTCTAGCTAGACTGACACCTCGGGACGCTGGGGACAGGGAGTCTGTGGGAGGCAGCGCAGGGACCAGCACAGGCTGAGCCGCCTCGCAGGGGTCTGAGCAGCGCTGCTCGTCTATAGCTCATGTCCTGACACTGCCCAGTGGACAAGAGTCTCCCAACCAAGCAGAAGTCTGACCCCGACATAGTGTCAGGTCAAAGCCTGCGTCTGGGTGCCCATCAATCACCTAAACCACCTGCTGGCGAGGGTCGCAGCACGCAGAGGCAGCCGAGGGGTGTGGGTGGGAGAGAGAGATTCAGAGTAAGCAAGAGAATCAGATCTTATAGCTTATAGAAGCTATATAGAAGTAGACCTTATAGCTCGAGGGCTCTGGCAAAGGTGCTTTGCTGGCTGGCTGGTACAGGGCAGAGAAAATCATGGCAGAGAAAGAAATAGAGACGAGAAGGGGAGAAGCCCAGGTACCTTCTCTGCACCGAGCTTGCGAGTCTCACATCTGGATGGATCTGAGGGCCATTCAAGTCATAAAAAGAAAACAACAACTCAAGTCCCTCCATTAACAGGCTTCACTGTGAAACGTCTTTGCTGCCACACAAACCTGCCCTGTCCCCCACCCCTCACCACCTGCGGGTCCCCTCCTCCCTCACAACAACCGGAGATGAGCGTGGCTGTCGTGTTACGGGGCAGCCGGCCGGGCCTGCTCAGAGCTCCGGGCACTTCCGGGCGACTTCACAGGACCCGGAGGGCAGAGTGTGAGTCCAGGCCTGTCCGTGGTGAGACTCTGGAATTCGCTTACTTTAATTCAGCTAAGAACATTAATTTTAATTTCAAATGAGTCACACGTTACTCCCACAAAGTCTACAGGAATTCATGTCTGTGGTGTTGGCCTACAAATGTGCAGTTACGGCCACACACCTGTGGCCAGAGTGAGCTGCTGCCTCCCGCCCACCGAGCCTGGTACCTTTTCAGGTAGGTGGACACGTAGGTGGAAGGGGCCGTGGTCTGCGGCGTCTCGCTCCCCTTGGCTTCATCCCTCCGCAGCTGCCGAGTGTACGAGCCACTTCTCACCAGGTTTACAGCCGATTCTCTGAGGCAGAAAGAAAACCAGAGCACAGTGGCGCCCACCGCCAGCTTCTGCCCGCGGCCCGCACGCGAGGAAGGGCCTGAAGTGGCTGTGCGGCTGGAGCAGCAGGGTCGCCGCTCCGGCTGTGCTCCGTGCAGAGGGCGAGAGCCACGCCTGCTGCCTTCGCAACTTCAAAGCCAACCCACTCGGCCAGGCCCTGGGCCACGGCCTCTCCCCCTCTCCCAGTGAGGACTCTACTCCTCCGTTACCAGGCTTTGCAAACCTGTCCCCAGCAGGAGGCAGGGAAGGGGACCGAGGAGGAAGAGGTCGCAGGAAAGAGGAAAGAGCAGGGCCTGCGGCGGCCGCACTGGCGTCCCCAGTGAACGGTGCCCAGAGGCTGTGGCTCGGTTCTGACCACACGGGCACCTCCGGCCTTTGCTACAGGAGCTACGTCTCCAGAGCCCCTCCCAGGCTCCCACGCAGCTGAGTCGCCGGGACTGTTGTTGGAATGGAGCTTCCAGTTCAGCGGGTCTGGGTGGGGCCCGAGTCTGCATCTCTGACACGTGCCCAGGAGGACCACACCTGAGAGAGGGTCTAGGGCAGGGTCCCCTCTGAGACTCAGTGGCACCTTCATTGTAACTGATGAGGAGGATGGAGATTTCATCTACTGACAAACTAGGAGCTGATCAATTCTGTGAAAGAGCAATCCTGCTAGTGCTGCCCTGGGGTGGCCGGGGCGAGGGGCGCGGGCACCTGGGAAGCCAGAGCCCCGGTCGCTGCAGCGCCCACCGTGGAGCCCGCCCAGAGGAGCCCTGTGCAGGCGGCTGCCTCAGCCTCGCAGTTACCTGTTCTCCTTCTCCTCAGCGTCGCTCGTGCTGCTGAGCCTCCGGGGCGCCAGGGAGCTGAGGTAGCTTCTGCTCTCCCTCTCCTGCAAGACGAGACGGTGCCCGCAGGGCAGGCGCACCAAAGACACAGGATCAACCCTCGGATGCACAGCCCTTAGCACACCCACCACCTCATCCCAGCTCAGTCCCACGTGCAGCCGGAGATGTTACAAAGGGTAGCTCTCCAAGGCTTATTCCCAAGGCCCCTCCATGTAAAACCCACACACAGGGAAAGGATGCTGCTGGGGAAGCCAGGACGATGAGATACAGAGAAGAGCTGCACGAACCACGTGCGGCCGCTGAGACACAAGGACTGCTCTGCCCAACACCAGCCCGAGCCGAGAGAGGCAGGGCTCCGAGGGCCAGGGCCAGGGGCTGGACCAACAGTGAGAGAGGGAGCCGTGCTCATCGTGGCCGTTGCCCACGAGTGGCCTGCGGAGCCAGCCTGACCACACGGAGGAGGAAGTGTGATGCTGAGCCTTTCCTCCGTGTGAGCTGCCTGAGCCTCAGCCCATGGGAACCGGCTGCCCCGGCCCAGGCGTACCTTGTCTCTGTTGTCCAGCAGAGCGGAGATGCGAGGGCTGGACGCCGAGCGGGAGAGGGCGGAGCCCCGGTCCCTCGCAGCCTCCCGGGTGTCGGCCACGGCACTCAATGTGTTGTGGCTGCCAGTCTTCCTAAGTCCCAGGCGCCATGAGGAAGGCGACTCGTCTTTGGGCTCTTCCAGCTTGTTAAAAAGGCTGGCGATCTACAAGGGGAGGAAAGAAAGAAAGGGCCGCTTGCCTCTGCGCCCTGGAGTCCAGGGAGGCCCACAGGCTCTGGGCCAGTGCCCTGCCCTCACCTCCTGACACCACGCTCCCCTTGAGGCTTGCCTTTTGTCCCTGACCCAGAAAGGAGCCTCAGACTCCTCAACACACCCTGCCCGGGGGTTGCTCTGACAAAATCAAATTCTCCTTTCCTCCGGAGCTCAGACCCCCGAGATGAGGGGGGATCTTTGAACCAGGGAGGAGGTCCTCACCAGGAACTGCATCTGCCGGCCCCTTTGGCTTGGCTCCCGCCTCCAGACTGAGAAGTGAATTACCATTGTTTCAAGGCACCCAGTCTGCTACTTTGTTAGGGCGGCCATGTATCTTTATTGTTTTGCAAGAACGTATCCTTAAGGCCTTTCTCATTGTATGTTACTGCAGTCGGGGGAAACATAATATCCAAATTAATCCCCAATACTCACCCTCCTGGCTGAGGGGGCTGGTGTCTGAGCGGGGGCCAGTGTCTGCTCCAGGACGTGGCCCTTGCTTTCCGAGCTGGAATGGTTGACAACAGCCTCCGGCTTCCGATCTGTGGCTTAAGACACAGGAAGCACAAGTGCACGTGTGAAAATTCATCTTCGTGCATGTGCTTTCCTGCTAACAGAACAGGTTCACCCGTTACCCAGACCAGAGCTGGGCATGCTTGGCCTCAAACTCATGAAATCTCTAGCACAGGGGTCCTCAAACTTTTTAAACAGGGGGCCAGTTCACTGTCCGTTGGAGGGTCGGACTATAGTTTTAAAAAAAACTATGAACAAATTCCTATGCACACTGCACATATCTTATCTTGAAGTAAAAAAACAAAACGGGAACAAATACAATATTTGTATTTGCATGTGGCCGCGGGCCGTAGTTTGAGGACCCCTGCTCTAGCAGCTGCTGCCAGAAGAAAATAAACTCAGCTAAACCTGCATCGTGGGCCGAGCTCAGGGAACACAGACTCCCCTTCACGGGTCTCCCCGCTGGACGGACACAGGAGGCACCGACCAATGAGCTCCCCGAGACCCAGTGTCGGAGAGGTGGCCCCTCACACAGGGCTTCTCGGGCACCTGGTCCCCACTACAGGGCAGCTGCTCTGGCTCAGCTCCCCGCCTCCACCGCTGCGTTCTCCCTGGCAAAGGGACAGCTCGGCCCCTCTCCGCCCTGAGGACTCCTGCTCCGCCGGACAGCGCACGCCTCGCACTGGGACACACAGGGCCTGGCAGGGACATCCGCATTACCTGCCTCCTTCTCAGTCTCAGACTCGGACGCTTCATCTTCGCCCTCCTCCTCCGAGCTGGAGCTGCTGGACTCCTTGCTTTCTTCCTCTGTTTCGTGGGACTTGGGCGTCTCCTCCTCATACAGCATCTTCTCTTTGCTAAACCATAGAAGACAGTGTGAGTGTCATTCAGAAACGACAACTATGTAAGCGCACTCAGTGTCGGGGAGCGCATCGACGAGCCTGGGTCACAGCAATAGAAAGGCACTCGGACCCTCCTCTGCGCCTGCGCCCCGAGTCCTGGCCTGTTTGACACCTGAAGGTTACTGTTTGGCTGTGGAGTGTGACTTAGGAGCTCTAGCCATTCACACACAGAGAAAAGAGGCCATGGGCCTGGGTGCTGCCGGGCAGGCAAACAGAAATCATTTAACAAGTTACTCAGTGCTTATGACGCCAGGGAGCCTGCTGGCTCTGGGGTGGTGGTCCCTGAGCTCACAGAACGGCCCATCGGAGTGGTAGTTGGGACCTGGGACCCCTGAGCTGGGGACCAAGAAATGCTGCACAATGTGGATTCATTCCCCCACCCTCAGCGTCTCCCCACGTATCAACGCCCCTCCCCGCCCTCAAACGTTCCCACACGTTCAAAAGTCACTGGGCTAAAATCAAAGTTTTCTTATTGTGCAAATCCTCACACTAAGTGTGTCACCCCCACGGGCCCCCAACATCTTACTTCTTAAAGAGGCCACCCTGCAACCTGCTGTTCAGGCCCGACTCAATGAGCTTCTTCCGCGTCTCTTTTTCACTTCGAAGCTGCAAAGTGAGAAAAGCCAAGAGGCTGATCTTTGGTAAAAACCAGCAGAGATGAGAACTCGAAACAGCCCTGTCATCCTGAAGACAAGACCAACACCACAGGGGAGGAGAGAACCAGAGCAAACCACGTTCCTTTTCCAGAATGCAGGGCTGTTTGTCGTTTTACCTTCCAGCTGACTAAAGGTGTTCTTGTAATGAGTCAACTTTAACAGCCGGGGTTTCTGGGCTATTTTCTTCTAACAGGCTGCTGACAGTGCCGGAGGGAACATGCCCTCTCCAGAACACAGACCTGACTAGAGCCAGTGACTGAGCGGCCTGGCATGGACAGAGACTGTCCAACAGCTCTCAGCATCCCTTGTCTCTTAGCATCCCCCGGACCCACTCAGCATCCCCCAGACCCTCTTAGCATCCCCCGGACCCTCTCAGCATCCCTTGCCTCTTAGCATCCCCCGGACCCACTCAGCATCCCTTGCCTCTTAGCATCCCCCGGACCCACTCAGCATCCCCCAGACCCTCTTAGCATCCCCCGGACCCTCTCAGCATCCCCCGGACCCTCTCAGCATCCCCCGGACCCTCTCAGCATCCCCCGGACCCTCTCAGCATCCCTCGGCCTCTTAGCATCCCCCAGACCCACTCAGCATCCCCCAGACCCACTCAGCATCCCCCGGACCCTCTCAGCATCCCCCGGACCCTCTCAGCATCCCCCGGCCTCTTAGCATCCCCCGGACGCCTCTCAGCATCCTGGGGACTCACCACACTCTGCTGCTTCTGCAGCATCTCCAGGTGCTCCACGACGCCCTCATCAGCCACATCGAACGGCGTCTGGCCCTGCAGAGAGAGGGTACCGTGACCAGGAGAAAACACAGGAGTGATCCCGAGACTCCACCAGAGCCATCTCCAGCAGCCACTCCTGCCTCTGCGTCCAGCGCCAGCTGCTTCCCTCACGCATGGGCCCTCCGTTACGACCAGGCCTTCGTCTACCACAGAGAAACAGCAAGCCCTTGTGGAGAGAGCTCACACTTTGTAAACAGCAGTGAGGAAATGCCCACAGCATTCGGACACTTCCTGCCTCTCCCTGGGCCTGCTCCTAAGTGGTCTCATTGTATGACAAGTTCCACAGGGGCTCTCAGAAGCCTCAGGAGGGCCCGGCATGTCCCTAACGTCACGACTCCTCCAGGCAACACCAGCACAGCCAAGGACCCAAACCCCCAACCAGAGAACAGACCGGACCTGGAGATGGGGAGGCCGATGGGCACACCCACTCTCTAAAGGGTGGTGCCTCTGGATTGCCAGGAAATTCCTAAAGTTCTGCAGACATAGGAAAGCAAGTAACATTATTTCAACCAAACTCCTGTTTGCTTGTTTTAGGGGCTTCAGCATCAGTGGAAGCAGAAGGCGGGACGCTGGAGCTTCGGGCTCAGCAAACCCTGTGCTGATAATGGCCGTGGCGACGTGTCTTCACGCCCCGGCCAGACTCCGGACAGCTGCTCCAAGGCCCGGCACAGTCTCGCTGCCTCACAGGGGCCCAGCCGACTCACCAGCTTGTTTCTGACATCCATGTTGCAGAGGGCCTCGGCCAGGATGGAGCAGGCCTCCTTCACGCCCCAGTGCGCGGCAGCGTGGAGGGGCGTCCAGCCGTCATGGTCCTGCACGTCCAGGTCATAGCCAGCCTGAATCAACAGTCTGAGAGAAACCCGGACAGACATGTGTACCCCATTCCGTTTCCTGCCAAGGACACTGCCCCTCCCAGAGGCACAGGGCGAGCGAGGCCCTCCTGCCCCTCAGCACAGCTCCAGCTGGTCACACACTGCGGCCCAATCACAGGCAACACGGACCCACCCGAAGGCACACGGGCGCCCCAGCACATGCGTGTTCCGCCTACGGAAGTGTCTGGAGCGAGTGCACCTGAGAGATGCCAAAGCCTAACTCATGAGCCAAGCCCACGACGCCACCCCGGGGTGTTCTCTGTCTCCCGGGTGGGATTCTCCGTGTGGTCTCCCCGACCGTGCAGTCTTTCTACGTCTGCAGGTGGGAAGTGACCCCTCAAATGAGAACTTGGTTCTCTTCGGGGCACTTCTGGGGCACCCCATGCTCGCTGCAGACCCTCACACCCCCACTCTGCCCAGTGCCCGCAGGGCTTCTCACGAACAGCAGGCGTTACTGCAAGTGCCCGGGGCCGGGGGGCCTGTCTCCCGAGGAAACAGCACGGCCGCTCCCCACCTCGTGGGCCTCCAGACGGCTCCAGGAGTGAGCAGAGCATGACTCCGCAGCTAGAAACCCACGTCAGCTGAGTCTGACATCGTGACGCCACCCTGAGAGCCACAGGAAGCCGTGTGGACACAGAAGGCAGGACCCAAACTCCGCCTGTCCAGACGGATGGCCATTGACTGCAGCTGGACGCACACACTCCAGATCGTATCACAGACCAATGAGCCCAGAGAAACTGTCTGTGTCCAGCAGACCAAACGACCTCAAATCTGTCCCGCCTGACGTGTGGCAGAGGGGCGGCTGCAGGGGTGTGACGCTGCACCCGGAGCTGGGAGAGGCCCGTAAGGCCGCCTCTCGGCCAGGCTCCCGTCTCACAGGCAGCGAGGAGCTGGGGGCGGTGGGGCTGGGTGTCCATGGTGAACACCAGCAAACGTCAGAAAGACTGCAGGTCAGGGAGACAACACAGAGAAAACCCGCCACCTCGGAAACCTCATCTCTCCGCGTCCAAGGCCTGTCTCGCTCGTCCCCCGCCTCCCCGACCGTGGAGGCTGTGGCTGACACACCTGAGGACCTCGGAGTAGCCCTTGGCGGCTGCCACGTGCAGGGCGGTGGCCCCCGAGCGAGCCTGCCTGGTGTCCTCGATCTTTCCACTGTTGAGCCACTGCCTGGAGTCCTGCAGCATCTGCTGCTCCTCCTCCTTCCGCGCCTGCTCCAGGTCCACCCCTGTGGGAGCCACACAGGATGCGGCGTTACCACGGCCACTCACCCTTAGACTCAAACACGTCCTCAACACACCACAGGCCACTGTTAGCACCGGCCGGCACCCATCCATTCGCCTCCGTTCACAGAGCAATGGCAAGCGTGAGAGAGCAGTTGCTTTCAGTGTGACAGCGTCAGGAAGACAGTGTGATGGCGGCCCATTAGGGACACACCAAGCGGTTTTCAGCCCAAGCACACCCAGGCCAGAGGCGCTGCTGTGTCTGTGTTAGGGTCTCTGTGCAGAACGTCCCCTTCAGAGTCCTCCGCATGGACAGCATTTCTGTTCCCAACATCCTCGGGGGTAAAAATAACAGACACACCTCCCCCCGGCACAGACGAGGGAACAGACACAGAGGCCACAGGGCACGTCGGAGCCGCCACCAGGCCCTGAGAGCCTCCTCTGGGCGGAGACTCAGCATCGCCCCCCAGGTCCACGGGCAGAGCTGCACGGGAGGCAGTGACAGCTCACACTCATGGCCCTGGGCCACGGTCCCACAGGTTCTCGAAGGGCCGGCATGAGACATGCTCGGCTCTGGGCAATCTGCAAACACGTGGAGGGACAGCGCTGGCCTCCCCTGAGGTCACGCCGGGAAAGGCGCTGCGCTCCGCCAGGGAAGGAGCGTAGACCCCGTGACAGCCGCTTAACAGGAAGAGGGAAAGGCACCACGAGCCACGTCCACAAAGCCAGTGCCATCCTGGCTAACTTCCGACGCCCGTGCCCAGCTGCGATTGGACACGTGTCACTGGACGTCTGATCGACGACGACACTGCGCACACAGGTGGGCCCTGTCCTGCGGGGTCTGAGCCCGGTTACCTTGCTTCTTCACTTGCTCCAGAAGAAGGTCCTTCATGGCCGGCTCCTCCGCCAGGTCGGAGGGCACCTCCCCTTCACTGTTGACGATGCTCACGCTGGCTCCGTGGCTGAGGAAGTACCTGTGCAGACGAGACCAGTGTTAACACCACCTGTCACATGCTTTCACCCTCGCGCGCGAGACTCGAAGAGGAGCGAGGCCCGTGTGAGAAACTGGGCTCACGCGCCGACTGATTTTCTTAGAGTCAAAGAGTCAGCGAGTGGCCAAGGTTATGGCTCCGGTCATGTGACCTCACGTCTAGTTCATCTTTCACAAGATCAGGTGCTCCTGGGCCAGTGAGAATCCCAATCATGCTCAGAGCTCTACAAGCTGTTCACAAGCATTTGAAGGAGAAGAACACCTCCTAAGTCAGACGTCCGCCCTTCAGCAACTCAGGAGACATTTCCGTCATTTACACGCGCTGGCTCCTGAGGCCTTTGCTGCTCTCACCATCCGGAGGTCCTCCCTGCTCCCTCAGTCCCTCCCACTGCCGACACTCCCCCTTCCTCTCCGCTGAGAAACATCGGCCAGAGAGACACATCAGTTGGTTGCCTCTGGCCCGGGGCCAGGGGTCGAACCTACAACTGAGGCACGTGCCCTTGACCAGGAATTGAACCCGAGACCCTTCAGTCCACAGGCTGGCGCTCTAACCCCTGAGCCACACCGGCTAGGGCCCAAACCATTTTTAGAATAAAAAATAAAAACCTGTTTAGTTTCACACTTATCCCTGAAGTAATATTTACTTTATCCCTGAGAACCCTTACAGTGACCCAGAGGCCCAGGAGTGCCCGCCCATCAGTCAACACGCATTTCCCGGGGGACAGAAAGCCCCTGCCCTCCTCTTTGTGATGGTGATGGAGAGCGCTGTCGGCGAAGCGCAGCTCCTCAGAGTGCGGACTCACTCGGCGATGTTCAGGTAGCCGCAGGACGCCGCCGCGTGCAGGGGCGTCCAGCCCTCGTTGTCCTGCCGGTTCATGTCGGCTCTGTTCTCCACCAGGAACTTCACCATGTCGAAGTTCTCGTCAATGCAGGCCTGCAAAGGGAAGCCCACGTTCACCGGCCAGCACTCACCGCGCTCTGCCGCGCAGACCGGGGAAGACCCACTCCGAGTGCAGGTCACACTCTGGTTCTGACGTCACCACGTCAGAAAGGCTCCCGGCACAGTGTCAGAGCCCACACGCCACTCAGGTAAGAAGCTGCTCCCTAGGCCTCTATCCAGCACCCAGGACAGGACCCTCACGGCTGAGCGGCTGCGGAGCACGCCTCCCTCTTCCCATGTGCAGCTATGTGAGCCAGGTCGTCGTCATATCAAATACGCATCCCAATAGATTGAATCCAGACATTCAGAGATTTGTAAAAACGTAAAGCAATGCCACTCTTCTCTTAATTTTTTGTTTTGAAAGTAGATAGCTATTTCAGTTAAAATGTGTGATTCATAGAGACATGTAATAGATTACTGCTTACTGCAGAGCGCCTCGCCACGAACTGTCCAGAAAGACTCAAGTGAAGAGATGACGGGGGCACTTTTCAAAAAGGCAGCGAAGTTCAGGGAGAGAAAGTGCCCCAGAGGTCCGCACGCTCTGCCCAGGTAACAGCTCCCGTGTCAGGACGTCCACGGAGGCCTGGCCTGCTCTGAGCGCTGGGCGCTGCTTCTGGCCTGGCAGCAAGGTGCCTTTGGCGCCGAGAGAGGAACAGCCGCGAGCCTCCGCTCCAAGCGCCGTGCCACCAGAGCCTTTTGGAAGCCCTTTTCCCAAGATCATTCTCTGCCCTTTGAAGGTGATGGCAGCCACGTTCTAGGGCCTATGAGCCCGGCTGGTGCGGCTCCCACAGGAGAAAACCTCACTCCCTCCCTCTCGCTCTCCTCCTTTTCTGGCTCCCCCAGCACAACGTTAGCTCTCCTCCTTCCGGTGTCAGTCTTTGGGTTTATGAACATCAAGTCCGTGCCGGTATTTCTACAAGAAGAACACCGTGAGGCGTCTCAGAGAACCACCACCAGCCCGTCTGTCTACAGGTGATCTGGGATGTCACTCTCCAGGCCATCACAGGCAGTAACGAGGCCGCTGGCGGGTCATGCCGATGCCCACAGGCAGGCTGTGCACTGCTCAGTACCAGCCAGGGGCAGGCAGGCCCAGGTTTGCGTCCAGCTCTGCCAACGCGTGTCCCTCAGAGTGAGGAGGAGAAGCTGGGCCATGCCCTCATCTACAGCATGGGGACCACCTGCCTCACGGGATTGTGGGAGGAAGAAAGGAGATACATGGTGGGACCGTGGCTGGTACTGTTGTTGTTTTTAAGCCAATAGTCTAACAAATAGCAACTCCCCAGGAAAAAGCACACACTGTCCTCATCCTCACCCAGCACTGCCAACCCCACCTCAGTATCTTAGAGGGGAGGCAGTTGGTTAAAAATGTCTTTGAACTAGCAGGACTGGGGGCCTGTTTGTTAAGTCTGACCTCAGGGACTTCCTCAAATGTGCAGCGTCCTGGGATCCTAAGTCCAGGAGCTCCGAGAATAGACTGGCATGATTCAGGGCTACGCTGAGAGAACCGTCCCTGGAGAGACCCACCAACAGAAACATCCTGGAGTGACCGGTCTGTTCTTTTCTCTTCTCCTGTGGCCTCCAGAAGGAACTGGATGAAGCCATGGAGGAGAGCAGAATATCCCTGAAAACCCCAAGCAGTGTGTCAGCTCCCCAAGACACAGCATGGGGGATACCCAGACTCATCCGGAAAACTGTGTCCAGTGCCACGGGCCCAGCACCTGCCCCCACGCAGAGTTGCACTGACCACCAGGTGGACGGGTCTTTCCTCTCCCTGAACAGGCAAAGGAGGCTACGTGAGTGTCTGATGCTCCTCAGGACATCAATGGGAAAATTATTCTCTATATTTAACCCATTCCCTCTGCTGTGGGTCATGTCCATTTCCTTCTGTTGTGAAGACACAGAATATTACCGAAGTAACAACCTGTTCTAAGCTGAAGGAAGAAAATACAATCGCTTTATGATGTAACTCATTACTAGTCCAGAGACACAGCTACAGAGACAGGCCGGCAGCAGGCTGAGGCTTCCTCACCGAGCAGCCACCTTTCCTCGGCAATGACCAGCCATCTCCAAGGAAAACACCTGATTTCAGCAAACGGGGGCAGAGCACTCTGGCTACTGCACCGACCGACACTGCTCTGCATCGAAGGCACAGTGGCTGCCGGCTGACGGGGGCCAGAGTTCAACCTGGGACTGCAAAGCAGGCCCACGACAGAGCTCCTCCGCTCCCAAAATAGCGCAACTGTCACCGCCTCTGCCTGCCACGGCTCCAGGAGCTGACCTTGCTGCTGGGGCTCAGAATCCGCTGCGACTCCTTCCCCACAGAGCCCGCTCCAGGAGCCAGGCAGGTGACACGCTGCGCGTGTGTGTGTGTGTGTGTGTGTGTGTGCGCGTGCGCGCGCGCGCGCGCGCGCACGCATGTGCGTGCCTCAGCCCACTCCTGCCTGGACTTCAACAAACCGCTGATACGGTGCTGGGCAGCGATGATGCTCATAATGAACCCCCATTCCTACCTTCCACTATTCTGTCCTACATCCTCCTAACACTTATGTAACTCAGAAATAACAACATGTATAATCCCCAAAATTATATAATTTAATTTTATGCTGAAAACCCTAAATGCTTAGAGATAACAGTAAAGACCATCATTGATTTCATTCATCAGCCACACACCCAATCCCAAAAGGCTCAGAATTTCCCAGTCGGGCTGGGTGTGTATTCCCTGGCAGCCCAACACCTAGAACAGCACTGGGCACCAACATTTGTTGAATCAAAGAACGGGCTTTGAATGCACAGAAAGTCACATTTTCTGCACATTCGGTTGATTCCCAGTCGTCCCTGCAGGCTGCAGCACATGGAGGTGGCCTGGCCAGGGGGTGCTGCACACGCTGCCCCTGTACACGCCCATGCATCAACCTCCCACTGCTGGAGTGTGCTGGATGGTGCCCCAAATAGGTCCATGTCCCAATCCCCGAGCCTGTGTGGGGACCCAATTGGAAAGGGGTCTTTGCAGATATAATAGGGTCTTGAGATGGCACATTCTACATTACCTAAGTGGGCCCTACATCCCATGACAAGTGTCCTCATAGGAGACAGGCGGAGGCGGGGGGGTGACACAGACAGAAGAGGAGGAGGCAACGTGTCCACAGAGGCCGACGGGCCCCAGAGCTGGAAGAGGCAAAGAACACCTCCCCGGGCTCCAGAGGGCGTGCAGCCCATCAGGACCTCGACTTCAGACTCCAGGGCCTCGAGCCAATACATTTCTGCTGTTTTAAGCCACCAAATTGGTTCACAGAAGCCACGGAAACCAAGCCCCTGGCACTGAAGAGAAGGCATCACGGGAGAAGCCCCGCGGCCTCGCTCCTGTAGAAAGGAAAACCACAGCAGGATTCCCCCTTCTTTGCCAAATAAAAAGTGGTCAAAATTAATTCTACCGTTTTCTCCTCAGGAGCCGCCCTGGGAGGCATGACTGCGCAGGGCCTACCCTCCATCCAGATTGTCAGACTCTGCCCGCAGTCCAGCTGGTGCCACATTGTAAGTAGAACTGCTGGTCCCTCTCCCATCACACCGTGTGCCTGGGCTGGGCTGGGGCAGGAGGGCCGCGGGCAGGGCTTGCTAATAAAGACCAGAGTCTCTTTAAAAAAAAAAAAATTAATTATACCACTTTTTAAAAGGCAACTACATTTATAGAAAGTTTTAGGGTTTTTTCCTTATCAGTCTTTAGCCAAAATACCAAATGCCCGGAACACCCGGCCCTGGTTCTTCCCCGAGGCACTCTGCTGACCATGTTCTGGAGGAGGGCTGACCCTGACACAGGGTGCAGTACTGACCCACGAGCTTACGGGACCCAGCCTTTCTAAGCTCCAATGAGGGAGCCTCACCCTATGACAAGAATTCGTACAAGTAAATTCGATATGATACAAGCCAGTAACGTTGGACATCACAACTGTCAGCAGATGCTCCCCACGAGAGCGTTCACGTATGTGGTTAAGGACTGACCCAGTGAGTCCATCCTTCAAGTGCCTGTCTGTCCACGCCCATCACGACAGTGTAGCTACTTTCCGAGTGAGGCTCACGCAGCAGTGGCTGCCACGTGACAGGTGACACGGGCACTGTCAGCCGGTGTGAAAGGCACAGCTTCCTGGCAGACAGCTTGGCTCCGAGAGGGTGAGAGCTATGGAGCTGATCATGTCCTCAGTGGTCAGCAGACTCTGGGCACAGACCCGTGGCCTTTCAGGAGAGAGCCCAGAGAGACAGAGAAGTAAAGAAGTTTCCATGGAGGGTCACCCTAAGGTGTTGTTCTTAGTACACTGGCATATTGTCCCCGAGACTGTAAGATTCATGACTTGAGGCCGGCGAGCACTGGCTGCAGTTAGAGCAGGGGACGACATTTAGATCTCAGAAGGGTGCACTCTGGGTTCCAGCAGGTCCTGGAAACGGCCCAGCCCGCACCCTCTGCCTCCCTGCACCTCCCCCCCCCCCCCCAGCACTCATCCCTCGGGCTGTCCTCCAGGTACTCCCTTTGGACCCCACCAGGCACAGGGTAGGGGGCACATCTGATCTAACTCCTGTCACCAAGGCAGAGTTAAAAAGTCAAGACGAGGAAGGTAGATGGAAAAAGGCCCAGAAAATGAAAGCTGTATCTACTCAAAGCCCACAGTCTTTCAAACAGACGTTTCACAGTTCCTCACGGAGAACTCATTTTGAGGAATAACACACTCAGCCTGGTAATGGTGGGAACCCCCAGCATGAGTTTCTCTTGGGTCCAAGAGTGCCCACAGCCGCGTCCCCAGCACCTGCCGGAACTAAGAAGGCCCTGGCTGCCGCCACCTCCTCACCGAGTCTGCACCACGAGTGAGGCACGTAAGTGACAGAGCGACTCATCTCAACCGACTTGATCAAAAGAGGTTCCTTGCAAAAACCATGTTATCACAAAGCTGTAAAGCGAAGGAAGAATGTGGTGGCTGCAGCAACAGCGTTAGGATGTCTTCTTCCAC